CCTCGGGAAACGGCGCGAGCGTTGTTAGGGAACCCATGTCGAGCGCCAGCAGCGAGGAAAAAGCAAGCAGGGCGGGAATAACACCTTCTGCGGCCTTGATCTTGCTGTGCGGAGGCAGGCAGACGACATCCAGAGGTCTCATCCAGACTGCGTTGTTGCTAACCAGACCGTCCATCTTAGCATGTATTCGCGCGAGCAGTTCATGAACCCAGGGCCGGCGCCTCGCCCGCCTACAGACCGGCCGCAGCTGAGCGCGGTGTCGACCATGTCCTCAGTCAACTCGGCGGCGACGACGTTCGACCGGATGAACATCAATTCGCCGTCGACGCCCGCGCTCTCGCTGAGCCAGAAGACGACCGGCCAGGGCGGCGTGGCCGTCATCAAGGAGGGCTACGTGCGGTGCAAGGAGGACAAGTTCCTCGCCAGCTGGAACCAGCGCTACCTCGTTCTACGCGAGTTCCGCCTCGACTTCCTCAAGAACGAGACCGGCAAGAGTGTGCTCTCCATCCAGCTCAGCAACGTCATGAACGTGACCCGGTCAGAGGATACCAAGATGGCCTTCGAGATCACCAGAGTGGCCAACCCCAAGGATGCAAACGCCCGCAGCCCGTTGGGGGGCCGGGACGTCGCTACCAAGACCATTACCTGCGAGGTCAAGAGCGACGACGAGATCTACGACTGGATCGATAAGATATACGAACGATGTCCCGGCATGGGCGGTGTCAGCAACCCGACCAACTTCAGCCACCAGATTCACGTCGGGTTTGACCCCCAGACCGGTGCCTTTGTCGGCCTCCCGCCAGAGTGGGAGAAGCTGCTCACGGCATCTGCCATTACCAAGGAAGACTACAAGAAGAACCCCCAGGCTGTCATCGAGGTGCTCGAGTTCTACTCCGACATCAAGATGCGTGAGCAGAACCCTCAGTATTTCCCAGGCATGAGCACTCCCTCCCCCGCTCCACATAACATGCAGCCTCTCCGCAGCCATGGTGGTGGTGGTGGTGGTGGTGGCCACGGCGTAGCTCCCCCGAGACCTCCTCCTCCAACTGGTCTCCAGCGTCTAGATACCAGCCAGTCTATGCGCGGACATGACGACAGATCCCCCGGCAGCGGCTCTCCTGCACAGTCGTCCTCACAGCGCAAGGCCTCGGATCCCGCTGACCGGCCATACGACCAGCAGTACAGCCAGGACCGGTCCAAGGAGATGCCCAATCCAGATCAGAGACGGAGAATGGAAGAAGAAGCTCGTCGTATTCGTGAAGCACAGAGACAGCGTGAGGAAGAACAAGCCCGCAGAGAACAGGAAGCATACAATGCCTCCTTACCCAAGACCCGAGTGCCAATTGCTCAGCAGGAGCTCGGTGGATATGGTGGTCCTCGAGAGTCACCCAGTACATCCAGCAGCAGCAGATATAACCCTTCACGACCTGCTCCCCAGGCCCCTTCAGGCGACAGAGCTCGACAGCCACAGCAAGATTCCAGACAGATGACTGCCCAGCGTCCTGCTCCCTCTCCACCCAGAAACGGGGCCCCCTCTTCTTCATCATCGCCATCACACTCCAGAGACGATCACGGAGCTCAGCGAAGTGCTCCCCGTCCAGACCAGAGCCGACAGCAGCCTTCCAGCTCGCGTTATGCAGGAAACGACAGCCGCAGCCCAGCTCGCACCCAACCACGCCAGCCAAACGGCTCTGCTGCGTCCGGCCAGCCTCCAAGCCGCCTCCCTGCTCCAGTTCAGGCCGTTAAGCCTCTTAATGTTGCCAACAAACACGGAGCTACTACTACTAACACCAACAATAATAATACCAACAAGACGAACGGAGTCCCAGACGGTGTCCGTCAAGCTGAAGCCGCTCTGGCCAAGAAGCCAGATCCTTCCCGCCAAAAGGACGTCCGCATGTCAACCATGTCCGAGAGCGAGGTAATGGAGAAGCTCAGACAGGTCGTTTCAAAGGAGAACCCCAACGAGTCGTACAGCAAACAACGAAAGATCGGGCAGGGCGCCTCTGGATCCGTGTACGTTGCCCGTGTCAAGGAGAATGCAAGCTCTCCCGTGGCCCGTGAACTGTACCGCACACACGGCCCTCGTGGACAGGTTGCTATCAAACAGATGGATCTAAGGAGCCAGCCTCGCAAGGAGCTCATTGTCAACGAGATCATCGTCATGAAGGACAGCCAGCACCCGAACATCGTCAACTTCCTCGACTCATTCTTGCAGGAGTCCAGCAATGAACTGTGGGTTGTTATGGAGTTTATGGAGGGAGGTGCCTTGACCGACGTCATTGAGCAGAATCCTGTCATTCAAGAAGATCAGATTTCCACCATTTGCTACGAGGTATGGCGGCCAGCTGTTAATCCTGCATGGTATATTCCCTGCCTTTACTAACCAAGATCCTAGACATGCAAAGGATTAGCCCATCTACACGGACAAAACATCATCCACCGTGACATCAAGAGTGACAATGTCCTCTTGGACAGGGTAGGAAACGTAAAAATTAGTAAGCCCTTTTCCCTTTGCCCGCTCACAAACATCATATCATAGAGCACTTACTAACGCATGTTTACAGCTGATTTCGGATTCTGTGCCAAACTCACCGAGTCCAAGAGCAAGCGTGCCACAATGGTGGGAACTCCTTACTGGATGGCTCCCGAAGTCGTCAAACAGAAAGAATATGGCCCACGAGTCGATGTCTGGTCCCTCGGAATCATGGCAATTGAGCTGATTGAATCTGAACCACCATATCTGAATGAAGAACCGCTCAAGGCACTCTACCTCATTGCCACTAACGGAACCCCATGTCTCAAGAAGCCAGAGAAACTAAGCAAGGAACTCAAGTCTTTCCTCAGCGTATGTCTTTGCGTCGATGTCCGAAGCCGTGCCTCCTCTGATGAATTATTGTCCCACGAGTTCCTTAAGAACGGATGCAGCTTGGCCAGCCTCGCCGAGCTCCTACGATTCAAGAAGAACTCTTCCAACTAACGTGACGAAACACGCGAAAAAGCTACTTTTTTTACTACCTCCTTTCTCAACTCAACCAGGGGCTCTTCATCTCACCTTTCCCCGCCATTCCCCCCCTTTTTCATTCCATTTTTCTTTACGTGCAGTTTGACCAATTCTCCTCCCCACCTCCTTGTTCTTCTTCTCACTTCTTTTCTACATTTTCATGGGACGAAACGGGGGAAATATACCTCATTACCTCATGCACCGGGAGGAGGGGTTTTTTTTATCTTGTTCTTGTTTTTTTTTTTCTTCCTTTGCTTTCCCGCTGTATGTACTGGTCGATTTCATTTTCCCGCCTTTTCCCCTCAACCCCTTTCTTCATCTTGGTCGATTGATGATCTTCTTTCTTCATTTTCCCCCTTTATCTTTCTTGCTTCTCTGCTTCTTTCCGACTTCTTGCTGCTCTGGGTATCTTATGGCCAAAATATACGATTCTATAATGAAACAACGATGATAAAAGGAGCACTTGGGAATCCGAACGAAGCTTTGATAGACGTCTTCTTTTGTTTTGCGCGTGCGTGGGAGCGAGAGAATAGCGAGGTCGATAATTAATTATTAACTAGCTACATGATTCGTTGCTTTGTTTTGATCAGCGATTCAAAGACCTGCACTGCTCTGCCTGCACCTGCTTATGACCTTTCTCCTTAATTGGCCCTTCCGGGCGTTGATCATAATAACCTTAGGATTAATCAATAGTTTCTTAAACGGCATTATTTTTAAGTAATGAAAACGTTTTATGCTCACGCTTTTTAATTCAGAATCATCGTCTCCCGATTCCTCGATCTTCATACTTGCTAGATAGAAATCCAGAATAAACAAAAAAAATTTCATTGCTCATGAACCATAACTGGCATATATTGCTATCTACACATCTTCTCACACAAACCCGCCGGGATATAACAGTTAAAAACCAAGAGACCAAAAGTTCGGTCCCAGTCATTATACAAGCTCACTCACTCGCCTAGCAATAAGAAAGTCGTAATAGTACCAGAGTCCCGAAAGTGTCGTTCGTATATATTGATGTCAGCCCTTATATGCATGCATAGATTAAGCCATAATCTGGCCGACAAATCCAGCCAATTCGCCAAACAGCACGCCGCGGAGTAGCACTTCGCCTTCGTCCAGTGCCCAGTGGCCCGCATCCGCCAGCTTTTTCTTCCATATCTTGCGCTGTTCATCGGTCAGATCTTCCCACCTCTTTGTCTTCGAGTGGTCTACTCCGTGCTTTTCTCCATCTTCTGACAGAACAGTGGACTTGGCTGATATTTCGGTACCAAGATCATGCACGACAACGGCTTCCTGTGGTTGTCCGGAGGTAGGCGAGGAGTCGCCCTTCTGGGCCTGTGATAGTGAAGATACCAAGTCTCGGAGCGGTTGGGATGTCTTGACTTGATGGATGTCTTTTAATAATGGGATAGTCGTTTGGGCATTTGGGTGGCCGTTTTCGAACATGTATGGCCGTGCAAGCATTTCTCGGAGACGCGGACTAAGCCAGTTCGTAGCTCCTAGAGTAGGAGGAACACCGCCTCGGATCTCCGTGAAGGCTTGTAGGAAGAAAGCACCTAGCGCGACAACAAGTATGGCAACGAGAGAGCTGAATATGGTATTGGCGAGTTCTGAGAGGCCAGGCATCACCAGAACATATCGTGGGTGTTTTGAAGTAGTAGGATATGGAGATAGGGGGAAGGTGTGAACTATAACTGTATTCCCCACACTGACAGAAGCCAGTTTTACAAACTGGGGCCGTACATCCGAGGTGACAGGTAAAGCTGGAGAAATAAAGGTCGAGAACGCTATTCTTGTCATCGAAAACGGGTGGACATCTGTGAATGTGGTATAGTGTTGTAATTTTCCAATTTGGCCCTTGGAAGCAGATTCGAGCGTAAGAACTTCAATTGACATATCACTGCCTGATACGGCAATGATGCACTGCCTTTCTCCAGAAGACGACTCGGATAGTCGACAAACATCCAAGCCTAGACCGATCTTCATTGATCTATGGAGGCCTCGTCTCCGGGAAACCGTCCATTTAGACATTTGACTGGAGAGTAATATAACCACTAGCTCGCATCCGGTGCGGCCAGGGTAGTTTTGCAGCAAGAGAAGGGTGTTTGGAGAGATAAAGCGCAAAGCTCTGATTTTGCTGCTTTTCGGTCCTCCGCCGACCTTATATATAGAGTTTACGTGCAAGTTGGATTTCGAGGACATCGATATATTCGAAAGGTAGACCTCCTTTCCATCCGTATATGCGAACTTGAAGGTCCCGTCCTCGCTCGTGTCTATGATATCCACGTCCTCCACCTCTTCTTGTGGTCCCAGTATGACACGTCCTAAAACATTTGGTGCGGATACAGATTGTGCGTCTGCTTCAAAGAACACAAGTTCTCCTCGGGGAGCAAGGCCAGTCGCGATTGCACCAATGCGCTTTGCGTCTTCGCCTTTCCAGGGAGAAAGTCGTAATATGCGCTGATATGCTTCTCCCTCCGCTGATTTCAATTCTTGTTTCCTGAATAACGAGACCTGAGATAGAGCTCTTGTCTTCGGCTCGCCAAAGTTGACTCGCGCTCCATCATCGCCACCATAGCCCCCGTTCTTTAAATCCGTAATAGCCTTTCGTCTTGGAGGGTATGTGATTTCAAAGGAGCGTAGGTGTTTATTGTTGTCTCGTTTTTGTTCCGCCTGCGAGCTGTTTATTCCGGCCAGCGCCACGACGTCTTGGTCGCTGCATTGCAAAATGCCTAGGGATGTGACCGAATCTTCGTCCCGGGAGAGCTCAATGTCGACTACCTCCGATATAGCGTCACGCCGAGACGTATCAAGAAGGGACTAAGTAAGCAAAATAACAGTCCATGTTAGCAAATGCTATATTTTCATTGAGCAGAGCATATCTGCGCCTCCAATTCATATCCTCAGGAACGGCTTATCCTTACAATCTTGTTGCCAACGCCACTGCGTCCTTCACCACCGCCCCCTCCTACAAGCAGAAAGCCATGGTTGTGAGGGTCGAAATCAGCCGCAAAAAGCGGGCATGAAAGTGTTATCTTGGACGAAGAAATCTTCGGTGCCATTATACCATGCCAGAGCGCAGAACTTTGTCGTCGATGTTCAATCCTGCATCTTTGTGCTTGAAGAATAAGTTAAAGGAGTTGTTTTGATCTCGTTGGGGGACAGGCCTACTAACCGCTTTGGGACGAGCGGCTCAAAGACTTTAAAATGACATCACATAGCAAAGGCGAGTTGATATCTTTTTCTCGATATATTAAATTATTCCGGATATTTTTTATTTTTATTTTTACTACTCCGTACAATAGTTTTTATATAGTGTATGTAGCTAAGGAGTGCACGAGTTTACTCGACTTCCTGACCGGTAAACTCCGGCAGCCGCTTGAAGACATCCTCCCAGGTCTCTTCACCGTCGACGAGGCTCTTGACGGCGTTACAGATTTCATCTTCACTGGCGCGGACCTGTTTTGTGGTGTCTCGGTCACGGAGAGTGAAGGTGTTGTCCTTCACGGACTGGAAATCGGCGGTGATACCGAAGGGAGTTCCAAGTTCGTCGTTTCTCGAGTAGCGTTTGCCGATACTCGCGGACGAGTCGTCTACACGGTTGGAGACACCGAGACGACGCAGCTTGAGAGTTAGGCGTTGGATAAGTGGCTGGAAAGATGCATGAGTGGAGAGAGGGACCAGCAAAACTTTAGTAGGGGCCACTGCAGGTGGGAAAGAAAGGACCTAGCGGGCAATTGTTAGCATTACGCTTATTACAGGTGAAAATAAAGGGGGGCACTAGCACTTACACCACGAGCCTCATCATCTGGTCTAGACCAGTAAGCATGCTCCATCAAACAGTAAAGGATTCTACCGATTCCGAACGACGGTTCGATAACGTTGGGAGTGTATTCACGGACATTTTCTACTCTCATCCGCTTCTCGATCTGAACAAGATCCTTACCAATCTCAACTTTGCCCTCGCCAACTCCGTCTACCTCAATCTCTATCTTGCCATTCTTTTCAAGGTCTAGTGAAAGTTTCTCTCGCATATCCTGAGTCAGGGCCTCAATTGCGTTTTCGACAGTCTTGCTATCCTTCTTGAAGCGAGGTCCAAACTTCTTCTTGTCAATGTCGACCTGCCATTCCTCAATTCGAAGGGGCTCGGCTCTGGTCTGTCTGACGACGAGTGGTGCACCAGTCTTCTTCTTGTGAACACTCAAATCGTAAGCACTTCGGTCAGCGCAGCCAACACACTCGATCCAGCCGTAGCTAGTGAACAACTCGGCATCCCAGCAGTCGGTTGCGTAATGAGCCATTTCGTTCTGCATGTGCTGACGCAGTCGGATCTTGGACTCATCAATACCGATCTTCTTAAGGAACAAGTAGATACGGGCAAGGAAGTAACCCAGGGTCTCGTTGTCCACGAGACCGGTAGAAACAGCCTTTCCGATGCTCATCCTAGTTGTAGCCGTGCTGCCGGAGAGTTGAACTTCCCGGTTCAAGAATTCCAGCTCCACATCCTCTACTTCATGGAAGCGAGGGTGTTTCTTCCCACCTTCGGGGTCGACGAAATGTTCAATCTCCGCCATCAAGAACTCTCGCACACGCAGGAGGCCAGATCGCGGGGATATTTCGTTGCGGAAGGACTTGCCAATGCAGGCAGACGCAAAGGGCATAGACTGCTGGTTGAACTCGAGGAGCTTCTGGAAGTTAAGGAACTGTCCCTGGGCAGTCTCGGGTCGAAGATAGCCGGGGAGGTTGCTGCTGGGGCCAATGGCCGTCTGGAACATAAGATTGAACGAGACTGGGGGCAGCAGCTCGCCGTTGGTTGTAGGGTTCTTGATATCGTACTTGACGATGAGAGCACCGAGCTCTGGGCCATCATAGTTGTCAATCTGAGCCAGGACTTCTTCGTACTCGGCCACGACGGCGTCGTCCAGCTTGACGACCTTAGTCTCCTTGACCTTCTTCTTCCGCTTTGCGTCCTTCTCCTCGTCGACCACTACTTTCTGGCCGCGAGCCTCCTTGTTGCCCTTCAGCCGCGACTCCAGGACTTCTTCCACCAGATGGTCTGCGCGGAAGATCTCTCCCGTCTTGGGGTCCTTGCACATCCAGTCGGCGAACTTGTCGACGTGTCCGCTGGTCTTGAGCACCTCATGCGGGGTCAGCATCGAGGTGTCTACCTCGAGCATGTCCTCCTCCAGGACGAAGTGTTTCCTCCACAGGTCGACGACGTTGGCCTGCAGAGCGCAGCCGGGCGGGCCGTAGTCATAGAGACCAGATACCCCGCCATAGATCTCGAACGAGGGGGTGTAGAAGAGGCGTCTTCGCAGCAGGCTCTCGCAGACGGCGCGGTCGAAGGGCTGGCCGGACTTGGTGGTGGCCATGATGGCGTCGGCGTGGACAGCGGGCGGCGGTCGTGTGGGTGGTTTTGTCGATATTTGTGCGCTCTGGAAGCCGAAGGGGCGCCCGCGATGACTGGGAACGGGACTGGGCCGCGGGGCGGAGCGTCTTCTGGCTGCGCTTAAGCTGCTTATGCTTATTATGCCTGCGCTTAGGGGCTGGCAGAGCCGCAGGCAGAGGTTGCGAGGGAGCTGGAGAGGGCGCATCAACCCAGGCGCGCGGCAGGCAGAGCGATGGAGCGGCAGAAGGAGGGACAACAGAGATCAAAAGGAACGAATGCCTTTATATACAACGTCTAGGGCTCATACAATTGATATTATTGACCATCTTCCACTCGGCTTTTTTTTTTCTCTGCCCAGGAACAGCCTGGACTGGCGCGATATCAACCGGCAAAAGGATCTTCCGTCGAGCTTTCGTTTAAAAAAAAAAAAGTAACAGGGGAAAAAAAAGCAAACGTATCGACAGAGCGATTAACTTGAGAAAAAAGTGTTGAAGACTGCGTGAGGGTTGAAGATGGGCAAATCTAGCGGGCCACGGCCGTCTGGGATGGACTATAAGCCTGGGAACAAGCTGAAGAGACAGGAGCTTCATATCAAGCGCAAACAGACCAAGGACAAAGAGACACGGGCATTGCGGTTTGCCAGAAGGAAAGAAGAGGCGAAGAACCCTCAGCTCAAGGCCGAGCGGTTGAAGAAGAATGTGCCCCTGACGCTGGAAAGGAAGCGAGTGTGGGATGACGCCGGTAGCGACGTTGAAGACGGGCTAGGCTTGAGTTTCGACGTGGAGAGGATAAAGCGACGGAGGCAGGAGACAGAGCAGGAACAGAGGGATAAGGACGATTTGATACCCGATGATAAAGAAGACGGTGAAGATGGAGACGCAGACGAAGGTGGTAATGGCTCGGATGACGTCGACAGCATGATCGATTTTGACAGCGACGAGGGAGACGAGCAGGAGAAAGACAAAAAGCCAGCCGAGAAGGACAGAAGGAAGAGCAAGCTGCCCTCTGCCACTGAGCGAGCAACGAGTCCTACACAGTCGACTCGAAGCACGAATATCGACCTCGCGCCTGATGCGCTTGCAGCCAAATTCCCCAGTCTCTTCCCAACCGAAGCCCCCCCGCCGCCGAAAATACTGATTACCACCTCTCTTAACTCTACGCTGCACAAGGAAGCCAAGGTCCTGACCGAGTTCTTCCCTAACAGTGTCTATATCCGCCGCTCGGCGCATAGATATGGCCATAAATTCTCGGTGCGCGAGATATCGTCGTTTGCCGCGAATAGAAATTATACTGCTGTCGTGGTGCTGGAGGAGGACCTGAAACGGGTCTCTGGGCTGACAATAGTACATCTCCCCGTTGGACCGACATTCCACTTCTCTATCAGCAACTGGATAGAAGGCAAGAAGCTCCCCGGACACGGAAATCCAACCAGCCACTGGCCCGAACTCATACTTAACAACTTCCGCACCCCTCTTGGTTTATTAACAGCCCATCTCTTCCGCACTCTATTCCCGCCTCAGCCAGAGTTCCAGGGAAGACAAGTGGTTACACTACATAACCAGCGTGATTATATATTTGTCAGACGCCATCGATATGTATTCCGTGACAAACGAGAGACGGAGAAATGCGTTGTTGATGCAAATGGAGTAGAGATGAAAGGCGTGGAAGGAATTCGTGCTGGTCTACAAGAGCTTGGTCCCCGGTTTACATTAAAACTACGAAGAATAGATAAAGGTATCCAGCGGAAGAGTGGCCAGGATTGGGAGTGGAAGGGCCGCATGGAAAAGGTCCGGACGAAGTTCCAGCTCTAGAGGATGTCTGCCCCCTTTTCATGCCACTGTTGATCATTGGAATAAAATATCAAAAAAATACTTTATGATATACGCTTCATATTTCTCTACAATTATCGTGTCAGAATCCGCAGGTAGTGTGTTCCTCTCCTTGCTGATTAGTCAATAATAAGCTGGTCACTTTGAGAAATAGTAAGCGATCGCCATCTCATCCTCTGCCACTATCACATCCAACTCATCTACACAAATGCCCAGAGGTATTCTATACCGTTAGCTAACACGACTTTGATACCATTACCATCATTCTACACCTTCAAAGATACCAGAAGGATGAGTCAAATCAATTTAACCAATATCTCGCTTGAGATCCGGGATCTCATCATCGAGCTCGTCATAACCACCAGGGTCTCAGTACCCAGAAGGCCGGCTCAAATGCTAGGGCGTTTGAAATCGGTCAATCCGGATATTAACCCTCTATCCAACGAAGGGTATATCGCGAACTCCCTCTCTCTCCTCCTCGTCAACCGGCAACTCCACGCTGAAACCAAGGCAGCAATTGGCAGGTTTCTCAAAGGAGCCAAAGAGGAGACGGAAGCAGGCAAAAAGCGCCGAAACTTGACCTACACCTATGATATAATGCTTGTTGACGACTCCTACGTGTGGCCATCCCATATCTGCGTACCGGCTCTATCTTCACGAGTCGACAATGCGGTTGTGACAATTCAGGCCTTTGGAACCTGTCCAGTTACCAAAACAAGCTTGAGCGGCGTGAATGCGTTCAGGAGTGACATGGGCCCATCAGAAGTACAATGGGCCTTCTACCGCCCTCTAGTGAATCTCCTCAGAGACGGCCCTGGCACAGAGATGTGGACAAGCAAGAAGCCCACTCAACGCCCTGTCATTGAAGCGTTGTCCCAACCAGGCGGCAGTAACAGAGGAATCACCGTGGGTACTCTAATACTGGACTTTCAAAAATCCGTAGATAACACCATCACCGATTATATTTTCTTTAAATGGGCCGCTAATCAGGAGGGTGGTCTTTTTCAACCATGGAAAGAGTGCCGAGGCATGCCGTCTCAAATAGATGGGTGGGAGGACGTCCATCGAATAGTCATTCGGCCCGAATGGTTGGTGAGTTACCTAACTATGCGGCTTTCATTTATGCTGGGCATGAGTTATCATACTTCGCAGTATAGCTCGGTTTTATTCGAAAGAATTGGAAAGATAGAAATCCGATTGGACGGGGCCAATGTCAGAGTGATACACATTGCGGAGAAGCTGGAAAGACTGAATTTCAATCATCCACGGGACACATTTGGACATCTCCCTTCTGAGGAGCGGATAGCTGCGTTTCAGAAATGGAAGAAGGAAGTCATCCAGCTACGAAAGGACCGTGGTTTGCCGGTTGTGGAATAATCATACGTTTTGGTAGCTTGTTTCTCTTATGCTGGCTCTTCCTTTTATCTAGCTGGCCGTTGTTCCTAACTCGAGGGAATAGGCAAAGTAAATAGATGCTAATAAAACATATTTCATGGGGGAAAAAACAGAAAGGAAGCAACCGCTTAATGGGTACGATACAGAGAATATGCTCCATAGCCAACTAAATGTCGCTCATCGTTCTTTTAACGTTATGCGGCCTAAGAACCGTTTCTGGGAAAGGGGGAATAATGAACCAAAGATAAGCCAAGGTAGGGAAAAAGGGAACAAAAAATAGGGATGAAATGGTATATCAAGAAGAATTGAACAACGAAGACTGGTGGGTATTATACCTGTTATCAAGAGACTGAAAGGACTGCTTGATAACAAGTACTGTGACATTTGAATAGAGGAAATAGTGAGCTGGATAGGTCTAGGAAAGGGAGGATGAATATGAAGGCAGATTGCAGTAGGCCTTAACTGCACGGCTAATCCGTAGATTTTCGCCATGCTGGCTCATCTCTAGAGTAGGCAGGTGAAGAGTAGATTTCCTTCACTTCAATCTGGGTCGAAATTGCGGTAGGCAGACTGCACATTGTGTAAAAGAAGTATATAGCAAGGCTGTGTTTGAATTATCAGGGGGTTTCATCATCCATGTCGCTTTGCTCATTTCTGTATGGGTCGATGCTCCGATCAGGCATATCGGCTGGCAATGGAGGAGGTGGAGGAAAGGGTGGCGGCGATGACCCAAGAGAATTGTACTTTCCCGGTGATCTCGAGCATGGGGTATTTTCATCCTCAAGTTCATATTCTTCGTCCATCTTCCTTTTGAAACCCCCGTCTATGTCATCTACTTCCATTGAGTTATCAGGACTCATCGGGGGTGGAGGAGGTGGTGGAACAGGGGGAGATTCAGAGCGCTGCCGTTTCGATAACGAGGAACCATCGTGTTTGCTGTCGTTATTCTCTTCTTCAACTGTCTCATCAATGTCACGTTTTCTCTTTAGGCTTCCCCCTGGTGTCATTGATTCATCTTCCCTAGGTGACGAACATTGGACGTCGTCTTGGATAGGCTCATCATTGTCCGACAAGTTGACATCATCATCAGCATCACTCTCATCAGCTTTGTCAATAGCAGGTGGGATAGCCGGTTCCTTAGAATTAGAACTGCCGTCCGATGGCTTGCTGTGTTTTCTTTTGTGTTCTGCTTTTTTCTTCTCGTAGGCTTGGTGCTTCGCAACAGCCTTCTCGAAGTATTCCTTGCAGAACTTCTTCACTTGCTTTATTTGCTTCTCACTGACTTTAGTAGGATCAGTCACACGGTTATTTTTGAAATCAGAGTTCACAAGCTTTTTGGCAACCTATGCATCAGGTAAGTATTATGCTTGTAGTACATCTAGTATTTGTTACGTAAGTAGCTTACCTCCTTTGCATAGCGCTTCAGGTCATCCTTGGGAAGCTTATTTTTAAATTTATCCACAACATATTTGACATGAGGAAATAGCTAGATATTGCTTTTTATCAGTATATGTATTCCTAGCCCAAGTAGTCAATAATTGACTTACTGTGTTTTCATAGATCTTCTTCTGCTTCTCTTCGCTTAATGATTTCCATTTTGGTCTATGTTCCTTCTTTTGAGGAACCTCAGCGGGAGTTGCTGGAGTAGCGGATACTTCTTTATCCTTAGATTTCGGGGTATCTTCTTTTGAATTCATTATCCCATCAATAATGTCTTGTAATGTCTTATCCTTTGACTCGGGCTTCGGCGGGGGTGGTGGCTGTGGCGCGGGTGCTGTTGGTCTCACCCAAGTGGTATCACCCCGAGCAGAGTAGTAGTATGTTTTCCCATTAGCTTCTGCAGCGAACCATCCTGAAGGGAGTGGGTTAAACGGTCGACGGAATGGTCGTGGGCCTTGGTGGTATGAATTCCTGTGGCTCTTTCCACCCCTGCCATGGGCCGCGGGGCCTCGAGGGGCAACTCTGGTAGGATCAACCGAAGGTGACTTTGGAGATTTATCCCGAGACTCAGACGCTGATTTTCGAGGACGATCTTCGCGCTCACGCATTACTTCTCGACGCTCAAATTGTTTCGCGGAAGGTATATTGGCTGTAAGTGCAGGATCTCTCTTCATCCTAGGGATTCGGTAACCAACTTCGAGCGCTGACCAAGTCTCGAGTAGCGAAGCAGCTTGCTTTTCAACACGCTCCTCGCCACACTCGGTCAATGGCTTAACGGTGGTCTCAATTTTGGAATCGATGATCTTATTTCGTGTAAGCCGTGGGAATTTATCCAAGATCTGGAGAATTTGCAGCACAACGTTGAAGTCTTCTTTCCAAGCACTAAGCTGGGAGTTGAGAATCTGGTAACCATGCATCCTCACAATTCTGTTGATGACCCGTTCATCGTCACAGCGTTGCATACGGCCCAAAAGCTTTACAGCAATCCATTTCTCTTTGCATTGCATGAGAGTTGCCATAACCTTCGTGACACCCTCTTCATCCAATGATTTAGGCTGGAATCTGTCAACGTATTCTTCATCGTCCTCAGCGGTCTTCTTCTTTTTGGGTCGTTTTGGAAGAGCAGTATCCCAGCTATCCAGATCATCAATTCCCAATGCCTCGATAGTGGCATTCGACAGCTTCGTCGCTCGTCCTGTCTGTGTCTTCCCACCAATATAGCCAAGGCAGTTGGCTTCGCCACAATAGCATGGCTGTGGATCAGCACCATAGCGGTCAACGTTGTAATTGAAGACTAATTCTTCACCGGCCTTGATGTATTTCTCAGCGAATATGCCCATGCGAAGCTTCTCTCCAACAACCCATTTGTCAATGTAGCAGTTTGGATTGCAGGAATGATTGCAAAATCGGCCCAGGTTTCCTTTCCTTGTTGCATCGACAAATTCGCCCTTATTGAGGGACATGAAATAGAAATGCTTGATACCCTCATCATCATACTGCATCATACGTTTCCGAAACTGCGGTTCATTGATAACTTCGCCAATATATTCGAAGATAAAGTCGTTTGGTCGCAGATCGGTGTTTGCTCGTAGACCAAATCCCTTTTTCTCTGTTTTAATAACTGTCACATCGGCATACTGTCGTTTTTGAAAGCGTTGATTCTGGCAGTTGTCACCACAACCACAATTATCAACACATTCCATCTTTGTAGCTCTATTTATGCAGTCTGAATCTTCCCCACAGGCCTCGTTTATTCCTGTTTTGGGATCTATAGCAGCCAGATTAGTCCTCTACATAATACCAACATAATCAAACTTAAAAAAAAAATTTAGATAGAATGTATAGTGTAACAACCAGATTTATAAAGATAGGGGAATGTGTGGGAGACAATAAGTCTCGATACAGGAGCTACTTACTCCATTCTTCAGCACAGTCACATTCCATAGCATGGTCCGTGTAGCCCATATTCTTGTTCGAATATGTGCATGCATCTATCACCTGGAAAAGAGAAGTAGCCTCTGCAGTGCTGTCAGGGAGATGGTCGAACATCTGAGGTTTCCTGGGAACCACTTTCTTGGTAGCAGAGCGAGCCAGCTTCGGAGGTTGGCCTGGCTCTTGCTTGACGGTGATATCCCCTCCAACCTTTTCTTCGGACTCCTCATCCTTCAGGGCAGAAGACGGCCTATCTGGAGGAGACGAAGCTGCTGACTTGGCAGGCGTGGCGGGAGTGCCGTTGGCCTCCCCGTTGCTAGAGGTCTTGCCGTTGAGGGATACACCCTCCGAGTCTTCTCGCTCCAGCTTCATGTCTGTTACCGCGTCTGCCACCGATTCTGTCTTCACATCAACATCATCGTGGTGAGCCATGAGGCCGGCGGGAACAGACGTCTACCGCTTGCTTTTTCTGCAGATAAGTAATGATCGAACCCAGTGAATAAGACTGGAAAGGACAAGATTTGTGACGCTAAGTCCTTCATCAACACTCTTTTACGCTCCAGGTGTGTTACGGCTTTTGACGCCTGTCGCTGGTGCTTTGGATCAGAAATCTTCTGCCAAGACACACCCGTCAACCATGCAGCAGCCCCTAACTACTGCGACAGGAAAAAAGTAGTAAGCTGTGGCTGTCTCCGGGCTGAGCAAGTAGAGAGCAGCGAGGCAGGGTGAAAGAGACGTCGAGGCGCAAAGTGACGCCGTGAATGGGGGTTGAAACGTCGACCTTTCTGGGTGTTCAAGGTCGTTCGACTTTTTGAATGGAGATTTTTCCGAGGTTTTTCTTTGGGGATGACGATGAAAAGGGAGTGGTGCAGTGGCAATAGTGGAAATACTAGGGTCAGGAGAAGGATCAAGCCCGATGGGAGAAAGCCGACCTCTAGGCGCGGGATAGCTAGAGCTGGTGATATAGGCTGCAGATGAACGAGAAAGGGCAGAGCAGGAAGAGGATGCAGCAAAAGGGGGGATAGACTGGGTGAGTGGTGATTTAGCTATGAGGGCCTTTTGTTTCGTTATTGTCCCTTGAGCGTTGTTTGGCCCGGTGTTATTGTGAGGAAGAGATGGCTGCGTATTCAAAGTGAACAGCCAGCATCAAGCAGTCCCAGGGAGCATCTCCTAGGACGTCACTTAACACTTCTATGATTATCCGTCTGGGTAGATGCGCCTCTAAGTATGTATCTCGGAGGCTCCTTAACTCCTCAAGCAGTGGTATGATAAGTCTCCCGCAGGCATTTTCTCGAGATCAAAACAAACCAGGCGGAATATGGCTCCCGGTAAAACCAGTGATATAATCTCTCCAGATGTATGTGCCTCTCTTTATTTTTCCCCTTGCGAACAGTCCTGCGAGGGGATGAGACCAGGGAACGCCGGGTATACCAGCGATGGTTGAAGATAAAATGAAAATAGTAAAAAGAAAAAAGTGAACTGACGTTGAAAGAAAAGGCCCTTCGACGATGTTTCTCTACGTAAAAGAGGAAAAAAGTTGCAGGACTGGGCGGTGGCTCTAAGTGAGTGGCAATAGCACTAGCTCCAAAAAGGACCTCCTGGCGGGAAAAGGAAAAAAGAAACAAACGAAAGACCGACCGCTTCCATCCCCAGCTCAACCTCACTCTAACGCTGACTAGGACTGCGACTGGGGACTAATAATGCCTACCAGTGCTGGTCCTTTCGTTCAAACGGAACAACAGACACTGGGTGATCCTGGTACGTACATCGGGAAAACAATCATCCCCAGACCACCGGCTCCTCGTCGGCAACCCATGGATGCCTTGACAGTACCTCGCAGACAGGCTTTTCTAGTGACCCTCTGATACCCAATTATCTGCCCTTACTTAGTAATAAGGCACCGAGTGGCTCGTGGGCAAGAGCCGAGAGTATTGTGGACGCCCATAAAGGTGGAAGTCTCCTCTCGACATGGTAGGCAAAGGCACTATGGCAACTTATTGCACTTATTCTGTGTGCCAATTGATTCGACCAACTGCGGTTACGAGCAGCGATTACCACGATCCAAGTGTGAATCGAGGATATTTGGACTCTGGCTAGAACCACATAGCGATCTAACTTGTATGCTGTCTATAGTGATTGGTAGGATCACATTCACCCTATATACCTGGTTAATGGTACCGTTGGTTGCAGACGGTATGACAATAACAATCGGAGGCGAATGTGTGAAGACTAAGAAATTCGGCAAAATGTTAAAACGATAAAGATTATGGCAACCATCTGAGTGTATTCTGGTAGAAATCCGGATAAAATGCACGACGTAACTGCAAACAACGTCGAACCAACGGTTAAAGTGAAGGGTAATTGGTTTAGCACTCTCGCAGTGTCGTTGCTCCATCACACCAAGATTGGGGCCATATTTTTGAGACCTAACAGGTTAACAGATGTGTGTGCTCCGAGAAAAAAATAAAAATAAAAACTCAAATGTGACCTCGCCGGAAGAGAAGTGTCTCAGCGATATTGGGGTATGGGTCGGGTTGTGAAAATGCGACCTGAAAGGCTAAGGTCAGGAAGAGACGTGAATTCCCAGGTCTCCAATTGGAGAGAAGACCTGATAGGCTAGGGCCGGGGACAGCCAATGCCCATAGCTCGACTAATTTGAACTGCTGATAGCCTTCTTCGTGCGCATGTTGAACATAGCGCTGCTGTCTGGTTCGTGGGCAGTGTCTGGGTTTCAAGATGTTCGTGAGACGCACGGGTGATTTGCGGGTAAGGCTGATTGATATCTGTTGATTGGATCGACAAGTAATATTGAATGCACAACCGATCCCTCGTATCGTCAAATTAAATTAATACGCCAGGCAGACCAGGAATAGATATGCAGGCTGATACACGGCGTTCCCTGTACTCGTCAATCCATGAATCAACGTGTGGTACTCCGGTATCGTGCGTATGCAGGAAGGGACAGAGATGTTGTGACAGCAGCTTGAGCAACCTATTTGTGTCGGTCCAGGGGAAGAAGACAATTTCCAGTGTTTCATAGTTCATGTTATGTATCGGCATTGAAACACTTGTTCTATGCGGTATTGTCCCTTCCAGGTCATTGGAGGACACTGAAGATGGGATGACAGAGCAACCAACAAACACTCCATACAACCATTTAAGAAGAAATATGATCAAAAAATTCGAAATGGAGTCATATATTCGTGTACTTTGCCCCTGCCTCGCCTATGTAAACTCATAGTCCTGCGCTTTCATATAGTTAGGTAGTTAACTAGTTAACTGGTGGTATTGGTTAACTAACCAGCTAGTTTTCTCATATCGAAGTAGTTAGATCATTGTAGTATATGGTTGCTGCCCCTCCAAGCTGGTTCTATGTCAGAAGATCTTAGTTTCTTAAGTTCTTTCAGCAAAATGCCTGATATTTGGTCGCTGTGATGCATCATGTAGCTAACTAACTGGTTAGTAGTAGAAATTGAACAGCTCTTAGCCGGTTGCATAGCTAGAGCAACGGTTGAGCAGAAAGAACCGAGAATGCAGTCATGCTATTATTTACCATTAAGAATGGTCAGCTTTCTAGCGTATCGAACAGAGCAATTTTAATCACATAATATAGAGCTAAATTCTTTGTGCCCGATTCAAAGTTGGTTGCTGCATCATTGATCTATACTGACGTCGTCTAGAGTAATCCGGGGAACATACATCACATCGCGAAAGCCTAGGAACAGCCCAAATAAAAACTCTAAATAAATGAATGAACAAATAGATAAGTAAATAAATAAAGAAAGAAAGAAAGAAATTGTTGACCAGCTACCGAAAACAGCTCGTTAATATTGTGTCTATATACCGTGAGCTCCCGAGTGCGGGGGTGTTGGAAGTGAGCCCGCAAAGCCTTCACACCTCGGATCTCTAAGAGATGTGAGCTCACCATCACAGGTGCAAGTACATTTCGGGTCTACAGCGTAGCCATCGAAGGAGAGATTGCATTCTCCTCTGTACAATATGTTAGCCCAGTTCATGCCCCTGAGTTTGAGTAGGTATCCTTACGATAGCATGCAGTCACTATACCGCGCCCAGAAAGGCTCCGTTATCTCCTTGACGAATTCGTTGTATTCACCGTTAACATAGTCGCAGCGTGCGTGCAAGTAGTCTCCATCTTTCACATGGCAGGTTATCGGGAGTATGGCATCCTCCGCGTGGATATTTTCAACATCAACGGCGTCGGAAAGGTCGTTCATAGGCTCCATCTCCTCCTCCTCTGCCTCCAACGACTCCCTCTTACGGAATTTACCGTCAGAGTCCCAGTTCCAATTGTTATGAAACCACCTATAGGTAAAGAATTAGGCATAGTTATCAGCTGCAAACATGTTAGTAAACTTTATTACGACAATTTCTGTCCGTCATTGTAGACAACCTACCATTATATGCGGTATCCATATTCACTCCGACTTTTGTTCCAGTGCCTTGAATGGGTGTAGTATCTAAGAAAAGTCGAGCAAATTTATGACATAGCCCGTCACCGTATATTGGCTATGTGTTAACTAGCCATTAGCGACCATTATTCCATCTAGTTATCGTATTGCGTCCGCTACTTAATCTCTTCCCAGTAAAGTCCACATCCGCAACTATGTCCATAACTATATCCAACCAGTGAGTAGGAAACGTGATATTGACTAAAGTACATAAGAGAAACGGTTTGAGCCGTTAGTTAGATAGCTACTGGATCAACTTACTATGAAAGGTGTGGCCAATGATGTCCGCATGCATCCACTCATGAATGATGATAGCATGTTCATAAGAATTTAACCTAAATATTCCTGTGTGTGGTAGCCTCCGTCCATCGGTGATTCTATTAAAGTATCGAATTTTGTCGTCTAGAAAGAATCGAGGGCAAAACGTAATTTCCCAGCCTGAGAGAAAAGTGAGCCTTAGCCTTTATATCGCCACGAAAGGGTTGTCATTTGCCATCTCCGCTCGCTGAAGGATCCTCGGTATAGGCTGTTCTGTAACACATTCAGCCCCTGTAGGTTTTGATTGATGAAAGTATATACTTACGGCCCCTTCCAAAGACCACCATTACTCGGCGCGTGTGCGCACCTTCTTTTCCGCTCATCGTTTTTCAGCTCGCACCGATAAGTCACTTGTTTCATGCGGACAAATTCGCCCTTGTGGTTTCGCTTCCCGGTCCGTGGAAAAATACCGACTTGTTTAATATTCTCTATAGCAAAGTCAGTTGACAATGATGGTATCACAATATTGGCCTAAGTTTTGGCGATGAATACCCTGGGTGTTTAGGAATATACGCCCTTTTTCAATTGACGACAACACATTGACCAGTCAGTACGGATGAATATCGCACGCCTCATAATAACAAGGGGTAAACTTGCTTCCCACCCTCCTTCTGTGCTAGGGTGCACAAAATAACGATTCCAGGCTGGCGAATCCCAAATTTCACCGTCCGTGGGTAAGTTTACTACATCTAGAGCAACCCGTGTTGCTTCGGCAATGATGTTGAAACGCTCTTCACCACATTCAACAAGGGCGACATCCTAATATATGCCACGATAAGCCTCTTTATGGATTTAATATCCCGTTTTGATCTGGATTGATGTGGAAATGGGCTTGCTGCTACCAAGCCAGTCAGGATAATGTAGACCAAGATGTGTGAGAAAATCATGATATTGCGAGGTTCCTTAGATCTAGAAAGTATGCAATATTTGATTGGGGAAATAGGAGCAAAATGAGAGTAGCTTCATTTGGGGGGGAAGGGGGGGGGGGGGGATTCTTACAAAGGGAACTGGCGCATTGAGTAGATTTGGGAGAATCGGAACCTGGGTCCAAAACTCAGGGAATCAATTCCTTTGACATGACACTACCGGTGAGATGCATGAAGGTTATGACACTCAGCCTGCCGTAGGCTCATGTGAGGTCCCGAGTATCTCCTGTCTCGCATTATGCATTGAATCAAGACGTCTATTCAGCCCCCAAAGCCAGGGTCACAAGCCATGCCGCAGGTGTACTTTGCAACAATAACAACAGAAATAGCAGCAGCAGCAGCAGCTAGAGGAACAAGAAACATGGCTTCGGCAGGCGGGTGTTGTAACTGCCCATAGCCCCTACCCTCCCAGTCTTTGGGCCTGCAGTTCTGCACAGTAACCAGCCTATGGGTTTCTCTCCAGGGGTATAACAGGCATACGCCACGATTCAGTTCACCTTTTCTAGCCTTTCGGATGGGTGCATATACAAAAGTAGCCCACCAACAGTTAATAGCAAACGCCGGCGCAGTGCATGTCAGGGAGATGCCTTAAGCTAACAGTAACAAAGCCGTTCTTTTGTGGAAAGCGGGTCTCTAGCTGACTTTGATGGTCAAGTTGGAGCAGCCGTAGAGGCAGACGGCATTCAGCTCATCCATAACTAGTAATTAGCCCTCAACCTGCGCTTGTGGTTATACCGCGGAGTGTATTTCAGTAGTGTATGCACCTGGATTGCTCACAACTCGAGAGAGGGTGTGAAGATAAGAGGTAAGTAGTCACCTCCAGTTTCAGCTTTGATTACGTAACTAGTTACTTCGTAGGCAGGGATAGGCTGCTTTTTGGTTCTATTTGACTAACACCCTCTATATAACTTACTTGTACTCTGGTTACTTGTCATCGATGCACGGTAATCCAATATTAAATCATGCATGGGGCTATGCAGCCAGGGTGTCTGATTACTGGAGAGGCAGCTGGTTATAAAACTGGCCTCTTTTATTGTTTTGCTGTTTCATCCAGATCGCTTTCTTCTCGCCGTTTTGCCCATATTCAACGCGTTAACCTCGTATCAACTCAGAGCTAGCTTAACTACAAAACACATTGTCTTAGAGAGTACTCCGTACAACTGTCCCTTTAACACTGTCGAATCTCAGCAATATGGCTTCTGCTTTGCTACCCAAGTTGTATCTCCTATCATTGCTCTCCGTCGTCTTTGCCGATGCAAACACTGGACCATACCGTATGACCGAGTCCTCACAGTTAGATAAGATGGCAAACATGCTAACGTCCTCACAGCCCTTGGTATCAGCTTTGGCCCAAGATACATGTGGGTGTACAATTTTACCAACGAGTGCTCCCTGTGAAATACTGAAGTTAGGGATCTCTTAGCAAAGTTGCTTATATCGACTCCAACGACAAGCCGGTTACAGTCACCAGCATCAAAGGGAGTGACGAGTACCGTGCCTTTATGGAAGATACGGAGAGAAATGAAGGGGTTATAGTGTACGTTCATGAACCGTCTATTGCCTTATTCCTCCCTCTTGCAACCTGGCTAAGCCCTAGACAAGTCAACGGGCAGGGAAGTGGTACATCTAGGACGGTGAATCTCTCGTTCCAACCTCAATGCCAGAAATCAGCCCCGATTATAGGGAGCTCTTTCGCACGGTAATACGCAGCACCAAGGAAGAAGTTTTGAACATCCTGGGCGAGCCTCAAAATATCACCTCGATTTCCGTTCCGCAATATTTCAACGACAGTTCGATGGGCATGATTTTCAAGTGCCGCTTAGATATTGAAAACAGTTTTCGGTACTGGCAAGTCAAGAAACAGTTCTATGTTGGACGCTTTGCGTACGGATTCAACTCGTGCGAAGGTTTCGGACTATATCCGAAGAACTGCAATGTTGAAAATGATGTTCCTCCGATCATATTTGCTAGAATATCTACAGATTATGCTGG